GCAGTTACATCTCCATCAAGAAAAGCATTTGATTGACAACTCCACAATGCACCTTTAACTATATAACATAGATGGCCTTAAACTTAAACTCAGTCACATTTTTCTTACACACGCTGTGAAAGAATTCTATTAATGGCTTTACACCACTTTATTACTTCTTGGGGAAAAGTCTCCTATAGCAGATTGGACCTGTCACTTTAAGTTTGCTCACAAGACTTAATAAAGTTTTAAAGTTTTAATTTCACGCAGCTCTGGTACAGTGCCGAGCGGGGAGATGTGGTGTCACAGTGCACAGTGTTTCTGCCTCATACCATCTGCTTCTGGAGCAGGATTTGTTTTTGTTATTCTCATTATCAGCATATTGTGCAGTAAAGCTTGAGACACGAATGCCACAGTGGGAAATGTATGAAAAATGTTGTTGTTATGAGACCTGACATCTTTTAAAGTCTTTTATTTGATCTGATGAGGCAGTTTTGGTTTCTTACATTTTTCTTCCACTTTTAGCAGAATAACTGGCATACTTAAATTGTATTTATTTGCCTAAAATATAGAGTAGAAACAATATAGTACAAATGAATCATGGGTGATATATAGGTATAATGATTTCAGAGGATTTTGTTCACATATTGATATTTGAAAATTTCCCAGTTTATTAAGACAATATTTACACTACAGATGTTTTTTGTTTTAATGAAAACAGAAGAGCAATTAAGATAAAAAATGATGCGGTGTGTTTTCACTATCATCATTAAAAAGACAAACAAATTAGAGCTGTTTTTACAAATAAGAAACAAAACATTTGTCAGTTAAGAATAGAAAGCACATGCTATAGTCATATTAGTAATTCATTTATGCACATTGAAAGTAATGGTGAGGAACTAATAAATTGTAGGAAATGGCAGCACTCAGACAAGTGCTTTTACAGTTATGGCTCAGCCTTCTATGGAGCAGTGGAGTGTTTCAAAACTCAAGTGTATTTAAATGCTCATTGTTGTGCTGTGTTGGTCCTGACTCTGAAATGGGCTGATGTCATTCTCCCAGATGGCGACAGGAGCCAGACTTCCCTATTGATAACATTGTAGTTTGCCAAGAAATATCCAAAAGTTAAACTAAACTCTGAACCTGATCTGGATCCAAAAACGTGTTTGTATTACAATAAAAATAAGTATCTTAAAAGGTCCCGTATAAATGAATCCTTGTAAATCATGTTATAAAGCTACATCAAAAATCTACATGGAGTTGTGCTTCATTCACACATGTTTGAGAAATCCTTTATTATAACTCTGTCTACATCTGTAAAGCTTAAAATGCTCTGTTCTACCTTGTGATGTCATGTTGCGGTAGTAAGTTAACCGTTATTTTATACCTTTAGATCAGCAGAGATCGGCGAGTCGAGGGCTGAAAATATCCAAATGATTCTAGTGAATGTGTATGGAGTTTAATAACACAGTGGAGCACTTCTTGTATTACAACATGAAATCACAAGGTGGAACAGATTTCATTTCTCTCCAGCGACTAGATCAAGAATGGGAATACACTAGACGATTTGCAAGAACCCCAGAAGTGTGAGTCCAGGCACCAGCCAATCAGCGAAGAGTCATACATTCTGTGTTGGCAATGATTCCCGAGATCGAGGATTTAAAGCCAGAACAAAGAGAATGTTTGGTGAATTTTATCAAAAAGAAAGACATTATTGCCCTTCTTCCTACGGGATGTGGGAAAAGCTTAATATACCAGTTAGCCCCGTTAGCGGTGCATTACATATGTCATGACCAAATAGCAGCGACTGGTTAAATGAAAAAGTAAGCGCCTACTGTCAAGCGAACAAATTCTAATGTTGTGAGGTCATAGAGTTTCCACAAAGTGAAACTGGCTGATGAATCATCCTAGGATTTGTGTGTTAAACATGTGTAATTAAAACAAAACACATGTTTGATCAACATAAATTACACAGACAGTCACAGGACATTAGAAAATAGCATAAAATAAGACCTTGAACAATACTGGCCTCTAGAATGGTCATTATAAGTTCCTGGTGCATAAGTGTGTTTAGAAATACAAATTCTTTACCTGAAATAGTCCTCGGAGGATGCCAGTGCAGGGCGTTGCGTTAGTCTTTCTCCCGTGTGGACGATCACTCTTACTCAGGCTGGTGGAGATTGGATAAACAGATGGTGCAGGTGGAGCGCTGAGCTGCAGACACTGTTCTTTATGGAGGAAGTCATTAAAGCGTTGGTGAAGCACAAAGCACTTTTATTAGCCTGTCTCTGTGCTGTCTCACACCTGACACATTTTAGACAGCAATTTTGGACAATTCGAGCCAATTTTCAGGAGTGAATCATCCGAGCGCTCCAGAGGGAAGAGGGGGATGTCTCTGTTTAACAATATGGTGGTTTCCAGTATGAACAAAATCACCGGACGCTTACTGGGGTAAAGTTAAAGTTGTATGGTGGAAGATTTGCCACTTGCATATCGCCATGGAGATGTTATTGCCTTGTCTGGAATGTTCCATGGTATATGTTATTTACTTATCACCATGCATGGAGTTACAAGTCACAGGTCAGATCTGTGAAGAGGCAAGCCCATTGACAAAAACACTTGTAAATTAATAAATGCAGTAAAACTTTAATATTATACCGTAGAACATCTAGGCAAAGCAATAACATCTCCATGGAGACCGCACACCAAGTACTGCCCCAGAAAGACCGTAGGTTTGTAGCCTTAGACTTAGATTAAGTAGATTGGTCTAGTTCTGAAATTGAACTAGTCTGAACAAAGCCTAAAGTATCTTTGGGTTTCAGAGTGATGACACATTAGCACTGTTGTCATAGTGATTAACAATTGAAAACAAAATATTCACTTTTCAAATAGTGAAAAGTCCTCAAAATGCCGACAGGAAGGAGAAACCCATGAATAGGTGTGGGCCCAAACTCCACCATCGTCAGTTACCCATAACACTGAAAAAGCACGTATGCATATTCTATAATAGAGATTATGTTGGATTTAAAGGACCTACACTACCAGTCAAAAGTTTTAGAACACCCTAATTTTTCCAGTTATTTATTGCAATTCAAGTCTTGCAAGTCCATTGAAGAGCTTGAAATGGTGCAAAGGTAAGAACTGAACAGACAGAGGTTAAAAAAAGGATAAAAGATACAAAACACAAGTCAAAGCTCTGCCAAAAGTACCTCAGGAAAAAAAAGAACAAGATGATAAAGCTTGAAAACATGGAGTGTCCAGCTCCGTCTCTAGACTTGAGCCCCATCGAGTTGGTTTTGGGATGAACTGGACAGAAGAGTGAAAGCTAAGAAACCTACAAGTGCCACACATTTATGGGAACTTCTGCAACAGACTTGGGAAGAACTTTCTGAAGAATATTTGACTTCTATTGTAAAAAGAACGAGCCACGAGTGTATTCAGTTATATCTGCCAAATGTGGACACTTTCAAGAATCAAAAGTTTAGAACATGTTTGTCACAGTTCTGCCCTTTTGTTTACATGTTTGCCCCAGTCCAGCTCCGTTTCCCAGTCTGTTCCGGTCCTCCTTTTGTTACCTCCCTCCTTTTCCTACAGCTGCCCCTCGTTCCCTAAGCAGCCCAGGGTAGTCTATATATACTCCTCCTGCTCACTCACGCTGTTTGCCTACGATTGTTGACCTGTAAAGACAGACACTTGAGCTCCATATCTGAAAACTCTTTATCTGAATCTGACCTCTGTTGTTTGGAACTTCTGCAATTTTTTATTTTTCCCTGCTTGTTGTACCTATTCTATTTGTTTGTTTTCTCTTGCTGTATTTATGAAGATGAACTGGTGTCAAGATGACGCTCTGATAAAGGAATAAAGGGTAGGCATAATAAACTTTTCGATCTGTGTATGTCAAGTATGACTGTCTGTGAATTAATGTCAAAATATACCTGTGACTGAAATAAATAAATAATCAAATCAAATTCCTGAGTTTATTCCCAACCTATTTTCTTGTAGTGTATTCCCCAGTTTTGGAAGATATTTTCCTTCACACTTGATAATCTTTATATTCCTCTTGTTTTCAGTTTGATTTGCCATAAACATTGAGAACCTGTCAAAGGACACTTTGTTATTGATTTAAGACATTGTTTGCCTGCATGCTTGCCTTGCATTTGAGTCCAAGTGACGTGCGTGATAATGTTTTGGTCAACAGTAAACACTAAAGAATAAAAAACTGGTGAAAGTGTGGTATTCTGAAACTTTTGACCAGTAATGTATATTACACAAAATGTAAGCCATGTTATAATGTTGTTACCTCATCAAAAACCTGGAGTTCCTCAAAATGCTCTGTTCCACCTTGTGTAGTAGAGATTTGCAATTCCAGAGCTGTAATTATCCCAATGATTCTAATGAAACTGTATGGAGTTTAAAAATAAAGTGGAGCATTTTCTGTATCACCACATGACATCACAAGGTGGAAGGTGTTTTTTTGTGACCTCAGCAGGGTTTGTGTGTTACAGCACACAAAGCATTTGAATGAAACTAAACACAACTCGAGGTATGTTTGTGATGAGGAAACGGCATCACAGAAGACCAAAGCAAGTCTCAAAGTGGAGAATTATGTGAATTTGTACTAGTTGTGTTTGAAAATGGCAAAATTGTGTTTATCCATTTGGGACCACGTGTATTTATTTTTAAAAGACTAAAAATACTTACTCAAATTGCTAACTTCCTGAACTTACTACAAAAATGTCCCCACATATTTATTAGAAACAGAAATTCAAGCATAATTTCCCAGTTGACCGATTTAAAAAAAAAAAAAAAACACTGATATTGCAAATATGAAGCTAATTTAACACTAAAAGGCTAAAAACCTCAAAACTCCTCAAATTGGTAACGTGCTGAAGTTCACTTGAACTACAAAAATTGACCACACATTTAATAGAAACAGAAGTTTAAACATAATTTTCTCCCATATAGCATTACAAAACACTGACATTTCAATGACAAAGCCAATCGTTTTATAAGACATTTTTTTTAATCTGAGGAGTTTCAGTGAGAGACAGAGCAGGTGAAAACATCTTTGAGCAGAATTTATAAAAGTTAGCCTTGAGGCGTGTGACAGCTGTGCAAGAAACATGAAAAATCACAAAAATTCAAACTCCCTTTTTCCCCCGAAGATCTTCATTAAAAAACAGTGATTTAACAGAAACACACAGTGACAATACAGTAGACAGCACACCCACTGTACACACAACTGTCCCTCTTTGTATGCAGAATAGTTTTTCATAAGTTATTGATAAAATATATTTACAAAGTTGCTCGTCTTTGGGTCCCAACGCACCAGTGTATCCTTTGTATCCAGTGACGACAGTTCACTCATCGCAATGCTCCAGATTTGGTCAATGTGATCCCTAAAAATCATGCTGTTTTAAGTTAAAGTCTACTGTATGTTACATTTGGAGTCCTTAAGGGGTCTTCTATTTTCCCATGATCCTTTGATGCTCGGTGATGCTTTGGCCTTCAAAAAAACTGTGCTCCAAGAAAAAAAGGTCGGAGGTTGGCAGTTGAGATCTTAAAGAGCTTTAAATAATGCCCTGACATTTCGCTGGAAGTCCCGTTGGACAAGATGCCCAGCAAAATCAAAGACGATAATTTAGCTCAATATCTGTCCTTTTCTCCCCCATTTTTGGTCTTTTGTACAATGCTTTGAACTGTAGATTTCCCTTGTCGCAACATATTTTGGTTTGGAAGTGCTACTTGATAATTGGCCCCGGAATATGAGCTCGATCTGCCAGTTCTTACGCTAAAAGATCACTCCTTTTGCTGCACCATACCACCAGTGCAATCATGGCCAAAGTGAGGAATATTGGGATTAGGATTAGGACAATGAGGGTGTCGTCTGGAGGGTCCACCCACACCACTTGCTCCAGGGTGCAGTTGGAGAAGAAGAGCTTGTGGATGCGGATGATGTAGCCCTCCACCAGTGGGTTGGGCCAGTAGCAGCCCACGTTGGACGACTTGGTTTCGGTGCAGTGAGTGAAGAGGTAGTACTCACTGCAGAGACAAACACAGCAAAGGGTTAATAAGGCAAGACACAGCATGTGAATTATTTGTCTCCAAAACCAAAATGAAAATGAATAACTTTTTCACTTTTTGATTTTGTGTTTAAATGAATAATGGAAAAAAACGTTTCCCATTTCCGTGACTTAAACTGCGATGCCAGACTTTTGTGCCACATAAGGACTGAAACAGGACTAAACCAGGTCTAAACCAGGTCTAGGTCTAACAAGGTCTAATCCAGGACTGACCCAGGACTGAATGTCGGGACAAGCCCGGAGGTGCGCCCGGTTAGACTGTCAGGTGATCAGGCCTGAGATCAGGACTTAGACCAGGACCAGATCGAAACTGAGACCAGTTTAGTCCTGGTTCAGTCCTGGTTTAGTCCGTATGTGGTGCAAAAGTCTGGCATTGCAGTCACGGAAATGGGAAACGGCCATTATCAATTTTTTCCATTATTCATTTTAACACAAAAATCAAAAACTGAAACAAATCGTTATGCTTTTTTTTTTTTTTTTCATTTTGATTTTGGAGACAAAAAATGAGGAAAATTGCTGTTTTTTTGTTTTCTTATTTTTGATTTACATTTGTTTTTCATATGAAATATAAATATATAAATATATGTATAAATAATAAAGCATTTTATGTGTAACAATGGCCAAAATTTACCATTTTTGGGACCTTCAAAACATAAAAATGAAAGGTTTAAATTTCTTGCTTCTTTTTGATGCCATATTACATACAAAAAATATACAGAAGGGATATATATATATATATATATATATATATATATATATATATATATATTATTTTTTTTTTTCCACAGAAGGGATTTTGGAGATCTTGATTAGTATTTGAGTAAACTAGATGAGACGAGACTTAACCAGGGGTTCGGGGCCTTCTCTGTGGCCGGCCCTAAACTCTGGAACACTCTGTCCCCCGCACGTGTGAACAGCCCCGACAGTGGAGAGTTAAGTCTTGTCTTAAAACCCACTTTTATTCTCTTACTTTTAACACTGCATGAGTTGTGTGGTCCTCTGTCTTTTTATTTTACTATTTACTGCTATTTTATGATTTATATGGTTTTGCTTTTTATTTGCTTTTATTGGTTTTATTGTTTTAGGACTGGCATGACCAGCAATTAGTAATTTACCTTTCTGTTGTCTTCATTTTATGATCTCTGTGCAGCACTTTGGAAACTGCTTTGTTTGTAAAATGTGCTATAGAAATAAAGTGGCTTTCAAATTTTGCCTCATTGAAGAAAACAATTTATTTTATTTTTTTTATGAAACTTATGGACGCAAGTTGATCAAATTAAACACACGCACACATTTGCCCTCCCATATAAGAACAGGAGCCATTCTTATTGTCTTATCACCCCCTTCAAACCTTGATGTATGCACTCCCTACTCCGTCAGGTCAAAATGTCGGTCTTTTACTGAGTGTACTGTCTCTAATATCACAATAATAAAATAAATAAATAAACAAACAAACAGAACCACAAACCATCAGCCTGCAGAAATACCAGAGCATTTCCTCTACCTTCTTTGTTAGAAACCAAAATTCTGAGAAAACACCTTTTCAGTTCTATTCAGTTTTCTGTGTAGTGACAAATTGCTCCCTGTTAATACCCCATTTCTATTGTGCGCTGACTGATTACCCCTCCTCTGCCTCGCCTGTTAGCATTATAATTGTCGCCGTTAGCATTTTAAACGAGGTGGGCTGCATTATTTAAAAAAAAAAAATCCTCAGTAAAAGGACCATCTATCAAGAGAAAATTAACTGACACCCTTCCCTAGTTTTCTTAAGGGTACAGCACATTTAAAGGAGCATTGTGTAACTTTTCTGGTCAAGACCCTCTGCTCTGTTACTATGGGCAATATTAATCACAGTGCCTGCGTGTGGGGAGTTGTAATCCATCAGTTTGACTTGGTATATCCCCCCTTCTCTCTCCGTGCGATCCTGTAACTGTGCCTTGAATAGCATTTGTGGTCACACTGGACTTGATTGAGCTTAGAGCAACGCTTTGAACATCTCTTTCAAAAATTCCAAAAATCCTATAGCTGCTTCATACAGGATTCTGGAGACTGGTCTATTTCGGTAGCAGCAGTGTCCAGTGAATGGTGAATTAATGATAAGAGAAGTAAATGTCATGGGAAGCTGCTTCTCAGAAATCAGGGCTAATATTATCTTGCTGTGGTGAAAAGAGCTTTAAAAAACACGTATTTAACTCCTTGGCTGAATATAGAATAGCTCCTGCCAACAGCTCTATTCACACTTACGTTAAAAAAAACTAAGACGTTTGGAAACACGAAGATGATGACTTCCTATGGGCTCTGTTGGTTGAAGTAATTCTGACAAAATCTGTGAAAATGGCCATATTTTCTTCATCTAGACGTCATTGTATTTTCTTTTTCCTTTTATAAACTGCCTGTTAAATTGTGTATTTATAATTATACTAAGGAAAAAAAAAAGATGTAATTGTAGTGTTACGTTATGTTCAACAGTTACTAACAGCTGCCTGTGAGTGACTTCGAAGACGCAATTAGAGTCTCGTCCCCAAAGGAAAGCTTTGGCAGGTTGTAAAGCACAACAGTAAACAAAGTGGTCGAGATGGATGTAGACAACGCCATACATTCTGTGTTGGCAACGATTCCTGAGATTGAGGATTTAAAGCCAGAACAAAGAGAATGTTTGGTGATGAATGAATTTTATCAAGGAGGAGACGTTATTGCCCTTCTTCCTACGGGATTTGGTGCATTACATACGTCATGACCAAATAGCACCGATTGGTTAAATAGAAAATTTACCCGCCTACCATCAAGCGAACGAATCTTAATGCTGATGGTTTCAGACGGTTCCCACGAAGTGAAACTGGCTGATGAATCAGGCTAGACCACTGCTGCTTAATCAGTGGTTTTATTCCATGCCCAGTGTTGGTAACTACACTACACTGAAGTCGTCATCCGCATGTTTCCAAATGTCTTCCGGTAAGGACAAGAGGAGGACAAGATCACAGCAGTCTAAATGAGAGAGAGTCACACAGGAGGAGCTCGGTGGAGAGACGCTGCTCCTCCATGCACCTTTTTTCACTGAGATGTAGTTTACTTGTTGATAATTGGCTTATTATTTTCTCTGTTTTTAATATTTGTCTTGTGACGTTGACTGTGATTGTCTTTGTCTACTTTATGTTTGGGTACCACACTGACCAGCTGTAATGTTTTGAAACTGTCTTATAAATAACGTTCGTATGGTAATGAACAAGACAATACAAGTTTGTTTCCTCAAAAAGACACAGAAATATAGAAATATATTACTTAGTTCTACCATTTATACCAGCTATTTAAAAATGAATCAAACGCCAATAATACAAAGGTTAAAAACTGTAAATCACGGGTGTCAAACATACGGCCCGGGGGCCAGATCCGGCCCTCCAAGACCTTTAATCAGGGCCCTTGGCTGATTTTCTACTAAAATATTTTAATTATATTTTCCGTTAAAATATTGGTAATTTTTTGCATATCAGTGTCTCCAGTGTCTCTGTGCGTGGCCCCTCCCACCAGAGCAGCACAAATGAAGACTTGTCTCTTTCCAAACGCTCTTAAAGGATGATCATTTTGACTGTTGACCGTGACACCCTCATCAACAAAATGTCAAAAATGAGAAAAGTGGAGCCAAGTGCAGGATTAAAAAAAAAAAAGGACTTATTCCTATTTACATACAAGTTCATGTTAAAACATTGTGTTGAAATTGCATTTTTCTTAAAGTTTCAGGTTGTTCATAATATTATAATATTTTGTAAAAAGAAAAAATTCATCAATTCAAAAAGATTTCTGTAATAGATTTGCGTTTCTCTACACAAATATTTGAACTTATTGTTATTTTTGGGGTTTATATGCCATGAGTTTTCTGATCCGGCCCCTTTGGGATCAAAGTAGGTTGGATACGGCCCCTGGACCAAAATGAGTTTGACACCCCTGCTGTAAATAGATACAAGACTAAGTTCATACCATACTCCACACAACTATACAACAAGTCACCCTGTAATAGAATCACTATTTCTGTTTCTCTTTACGACCTCTTGTATATAGCTGAGATATATTTGTATTACTATATTTCTATATTTTATTTTTACTTTGACATATACTGAAATTACACCTTATTTGACACCAGTCTCTTGCTATTTTTGCCACTTATCTTTTGCTCTTTCTTATTAAAATATACTGTGATGTGTGAGCTACTGTGTCCTAATAATTTCCCTTGTGGATTAATAAAGTTTTAAGGTTTTAGTGTTAGCAAAACTATAATTCAACTCAAATCCGATTGCAATTTTTAATGTATGAAAACTCTATATTTCAGTATTGACTGTGCATTTCTAGTTTTATGCTGAGTTTGGGCCCTTGAGAATAAATCATGAAAATACTGCATAGCAAAGAGCGTATAGGGAGAAAGGCAGGGCTCACTATGAAATATATATACTTTTTGCTGAGAAATGCTGTCTGCCAGTCTAAAGTGTGCTCACGGCCATTATAGACCTTTACTGGAGCTTTATCAAAGGTTTAATGTGTGCTCTAATGGGTTGTGGGAGCAAAGATGAGAGATGTGAAATTCAAAGGTGTCCGTATAGTTCTTTTGAGGCTAGTTTATAAATTATAGAAGTCTGAACTGGTGTTGCCTTGATTTATGGCCTCAGGAAAGACTGTGATGAACAGAGGACAGAATGGTCTAAAAAATGCATGAGCAGCTTGCAGTGAGAGAAGATAGAGGCACAAACAAATGTACAGACGCAGGGAGATTGGTTTAGGTGAAGTGAAGCACAGTATTTTTTAGGGGCAATTGAAAGTGAAAAGATGAGAAGAGAAACTATAGTGGTACTACTCTTCAAGTACTACATGACATCACAAAGTACTGCCCTGATTAAAGCCCGTTGTTTCTCATTACAAACATCTGGCTGCAGGGACGAAGTTTGAAGTTTGAATCTATGTATTATTCATTCG